CAGGTAGGATCCTGACAGCTGAGTCTGACCCAGAGGTGGAGTCCTGACCAAATGTAGATTACTCAGAGCAAAAAGTTGCAGGAATACTTATTGCATGGAAAGGTTCTCAGGAGTCATGTGTTTACTTAAAAGCAAGTCCTTATTCCCAAGTAATTCTCACTGATTAGCCATGATTAATAACTGGATGAAAGCTACAGAAGTAGATGCATAAGATCTTTCACTTGGGAACAAGCCAATGCTATTAAAATGTGTATCAGGCTTCTAGGTGAATCATGAGAGCTGCCTATTCTTGAATTTGGGCTTTTTATACCTGGACCCTTGGCTATATTTCTTGTTCATAGCAGTACTGAATATGGAATAGTCTACTTCACTTTAACACTGAAAGAGTTAAAGGAAAATTAACTGATCTGTCCATCCAGATAAAAGGGTGGACACAACGAAAACCCAGGAAGATCAAATGCCAAGGAGCCAATCAGGAGGGTGGATTTCTCAGAAGGGCTTTTGAAATAAGGGGAAGACAACTTGAGGGTTGCGTTTTCTCCTCCAAGGTTGGGTGAAGGCTGGTAAACCTTCCCCAACCCACCACAGGCAGTAGCAACAGGGCTGGACCTAGTAATTTGAACAGGCAGCTACACTTAGTCTGTATGTACTTCTATGAGCTGAGATCTGGGCTATGTGAGCTTGTTGTAATGTGTGTGTGGTTGTGTGAGATCTTAGAGCTAAGAGTCTTCATGCTGACTGAGATCAAGCTCTTCAGAAAATCAGTGGTGGAGCAGATTTCTCTGAAGTAAAGATGCTGGTGGCAATATACCTCATTGACTCTCTCCAGGAAAGCTGGAGAGTGCGGCAGGGCTGTGGACCAATGTGCACACCCCTTTATAGGAGCTTGTTATTGTTGCTTAGCTGTTTAGACTTTGGATGATCTTTTGGTATTATTTCAACTCTCACTGTTTACATTGACCTGTTGTTGTGTCTGCTATGTGACCTGTATTCGGTTGCTTGACCTTGCTTCTATCCTGATCAGCTTGAGGTTCATTAAGTTGAACAGTATTCCATGCTTGTACGACTGTAAGACCAACGGTGTTTGTGGGAGAGGCTTTGGAGGCTCTGGATTTTGACCTGTTCCCTGTGATATGGTCCTTTGGCCGTATCCTTGCCTTTTGTCTTCAGATAGGAGGGCCTGGTATAGGTACAGCCCATATAGATGTCCAAGTTGAGAACTTTGGACTAGCCTTTTTTTGCTTTGTTTTTTTGCTATCAAGTAGTTTATTTTTACATCACCCAAGTGAATGTAGGATATGCTATAGGAATGTGCAACAAATGCTGTTCCAAAGAAATCAAGAGCATGCCATTCTTCCTCCAATCCATGCCAAGCTGGCCCTTCCAAGCTAGTCTGGGATTCCTTACTCAAATACTTATGTGTTGGACCACAACTCTCCCAATTCCTAGCTGAGGATTCAAGACTTGTAGACCAACAGATCTGGAGAGAACTATGTTGAGGAAAGCTGCTTCAGACCATCCATTAAAAGAGAGGGTTCGGAAACCAATATGTCTATCATCTCAGATCAACCTTGTAGGAATATTAGAGATATGCAGAAACAAACAGCCCTGAGCCACTGGACCCAACAGTCTAAGCAGCTCAAACTGTTCAGGAAAGCAGCAGATCAAATTTAGCAATCTCTAAGAAAAAAATGTGCTGTAAATCTTTTCAAAGCTCTCTTTCTCCCCCAGCCTTACATGCTACCAAATGCATTGATCAAATAGTAACAGCATCTGTCCCAGGGACAAGATTTCTGGGAGCAGTTTGTGGTTCTGGCTAATAGGCGTGTTTTCAGACATTCAGTTTTGAGAATACAAATTATATGGGTATCTTTCATAGCAGCATTCATTCATCTAGAAATACCAATCCTGTTCATCAGCATGTATTAATTCTTCTGCAAAATTAAAATGATCAAGATCTTATATCAAGCTGGGGAGGGGGGGTATTTAGGTTTATTTCATTTCTGTTAGACGCCAAATGTGTGTGTAAAATCAGGGTTAGGATTACTATATCTGGGCTGCAAAAATCCAGATTACCTCTAGATGGACCATTCGTTTTCTACATCTCTTCACTGCCTTTTAGGACTCAAATTTGGTTGGCAACCAATTGGACAAGCCTGGCTTACATTGTGAATTCTGCCACAAGGGACAGAACAAATACAACAGGGCTACTCTGTGACAAAGTGAAAACATTAAATCTTGTATCCATGTCTGACGTGAGTGAATGTTATTTGAAAAACACAGTTACAAAACAAATTAGCCTTTCATCTCTGAAGCCAAGGAGGTCTGGGTCTGTCCAACAGCCCGGTGCAATATCATGTGTCTTTGTGCTGAGAACTTTACAAAGTGAGGTAAGATGTTGGTAGGGAAATAAATGAGCCCCCAGTGTGGTCATTCAGGTGGCATCATATTTTTTGAAAATATTAGATACTGAACTGTGACCTCAGGCCTAAATCATCATGATTCAGTAGTGAGTTATCTCAGAAGATCATTTTTCTCTTGTGGGAAATAACCTTTTCCTCCCATTTAGAAAACACATGCTGATTGGCTAGCATACATTTTCTACTCCCATTTTGGATGACAACATAACTCTCAGGGCAGCATAAAGGCCTTCCCTTTTTCATTTGTTTTCAATCAGTACCTGCTAATGTTGCCTGATACTTCTGCTGGATTTCTCCCCCTGCCCACATAACAATAACATCATTCTTACGGACTGCCTGAGAATGCTCAAGGGCAAAAGGCTGAGTCACACTGACTGGACTGAGTCACCTCTAAAAGACTCTGAACAGGCTGTCCAGCCATCTATAATCTTACACTATATGCACACACCCAGAGAGAGACAGCAGCTGGGTTATTTCCTTGGGCAGAAATTGCCACTTGTACTGAGGTTGTTAGGGATCACACTGGAATCTAGATTCCCAGGTCTTGTTCATCTTATGCATGTGGATAAGGAGAAAAACTGTAAAGCAGAATGAAGTCACCGCGGCCAGATACTGATGGAAAAGGAGAGCAGTGTGTATATGTATGTTTCCCAAACTGAAATATTAGCAATTGTTAAGGTACAAAATAAATCATCTTTCCATGATTCAATTTCAAGGGCATAATAACTGAACATGCAGTGTTGATTTAGCTCCTCTCTAGAACGTATGTAGAGAACGCTAAAACATTACATATCGACAGGCACATAATAAATGAGGGCCTGGATTCCAAAAAATCGTACACAATCCCCTTCTCCTTGCTTATCTACATTTCATTGTTCCATATTGTGAGAATTTACTCTCACCAATTATATATATTTTCAAATAGTGGCTAGGTTCACAAATCATGTCAAGATGATGGTTTTTCTGAATGAATGTTTCTTGGTCAGAATGGCTGGGTTCACTAATAACATGAAGCAAAAATCAAACCCACCACATTTTGGGGTTAGTTGCTATGTAAAACCAGCCACTGCCAAGCTCCTTCACTACTGATGATTTTTGTACCCCTTTTCCAATTTTTTTTTTTTTTTTTAGGAATACCATTGCTCAGCCTAAAATTAAGAATTCATATTGGTCTGATTCATTCACACACCCCTACTCCAGAGTCCCAGCCGAGCCTGGATTCAGTCCATTGGCTGTGCTGTCACAATATATTTAACGCAAACTAGCCAACCGTATTTTAGATGTGTGTATTGTGCAAACCCATCCCCTATGATTAGTTTATGGTTCAGTGTGTCATGTACATACCTAAAGGTAATTAATTGAGCCATGGCTGAGTTTAAACATGGGTAAGAGTATTGGGTGAATATATTCATACTAAAAGACATTTCAAAGATATACAAATCCCTTAAATTGTTTTTGAAACCTTATTGACATTTCAGAAACTTATTGCAAGAAACTATATAACACCTTTAAAAAAAAGGCACAGGTACCAGTTGTTAGTAAAAAATGGAGTACAAATTTGGGAATAATAAGCCAAGAGAATTGTTTCTACAACATTTATTTTCCCTAGGACAGCACTGTAATATTCTGGAAGGCTTCTTTTTTCCCCCCAACCCCAGAGCCCTAAAAAAGCTAAACAAGGCTGACCAAGCCCTGTTTTCCCAAACTCAAACAAGAGTTGGAGAAAGAGCCACCCAACCTTAACATGCTTGCTTTTTGTTTTCCTGGGGAACAGGAGACCTCAGATCCAGCTTTTTGTGCCTTGTGACTGGAAAGATTGGCAGAAGAATGAAAATGGGAATGAATATTTGTTTAACACGCCTCCCCCAAATTACACCAATTACATAAGCCCATTTAATTGGATTTGCTGGCACGAACATGCCTTGCATTTGTTTTCCCTTTTGATCAATCCTATTCATATGTTGATGTCCAGTTTGCTTAGTTACTCTTGAATGCTGAATAAGCAAATCATCTGTGCTGATTAGATAAAACTTTAGGACAAATGGGAAAATACTTCTTATTGGCAAAGACTGTAATTTTGTTACCAGCTTTATGGGTTATGGCTTCATCCTAAAACCAACAAGGTTACATCACTAGCAGTTAGATTTTGTTTATTCTAGGGAAACAGTTATTCTGATCCAGGGAACAGCATCAGAGAAAATATGGGGATATCTTTTTGGAGTTGCTTGTCTTCTAGATTACTCTTAAACTGACTTCTTAAAAATAGAAAACATAAAGTTGAGATTTAACTATCCATATAATTACCGTATTTTTCCGTCAATAAGACGCCCCCATGTACAAGACGACCCCCACTTTTCCAACCCAAAATTAAGAAATCAATATTTTAAAGATAGTGCAGAACACATTGTTATTTAGTAATTAGTTAACATTTACCTGATACACTCGGTGGGAGGAGGTCCAAACCGTCTCTCTGCAGCTCTATTTCCAGACTCTTTTGCATAACTTTGTTGGTTTTAGGATGAAGTTGTTGGTTTTAGGATGAAGTTGTTGGTTTTAGGATGAAGATTAGTTAACATTTACCTGATACACTCGGTGGGAGGAGGTCCAAACCGTCTCTCTGCAGCTCTATTTCCAGACTCTTTTGCATAACTGATTACATTCAATCATGAGTGAAACC